AAGAGGAGGTTGCACTCAGCTGGACTGTGGTGTGCCTATCCGAGGAGGGGCTCAGTCTAGGTGCTGGTTTGGAGTGGATTCTAGAGAAAAGAGGCCCAAGAGCCGGAAGATGCCAGATTGTGGGAAGAGTGACTGAGCTGGGCTCCAACCCAGCCCGGCTGGCCCCACCTCCCTCCCACTGGGCCTCCCTTCTCTGGAACAAAGTGTCCCTGTGACTGTCTGTCTCCCTGCCAGATGGTGAGACCCTCCAAGGCAGGCATACATCTTTTCATCCCTTGCGTCAACCACCCCCCCCATCACCACCCATACTTCTTTCCATCTCATCACCTCTCTTTGCTTGTCTATTAGATTTCCATCTCCTGCAAAAATATGCTACACTGACCACCAGGTAGAGGCTAGTGTGAACAACAAGGGGGAAATGAGACTGACCCCCTCCCAGTATCTCACATAAAAACACAGCGATGCACATGGCCCTTCTCCACAGAGGGATTGGGGTGACTGGTCCTACCCCTTGGCAGGGGCACTTCTTGTTCAGTGACATGAGTGGCTAGTCCAGATAGGAATGCTAATTTATTTCTATGTCACTACTGTGCAAGAAAGGTGTCTGTACCCCATAATGTGGTATGCCAGCTGTGGCTGCGAATTCATTTAACTTACAATACTGGGCACATCCAGGGTTACAAGCAGTGTCAGCAGTGAAGATAGGTCATCATCAATAGTCATCAATAAATGAAGAGCTGGGAGGATTGCATAGACAGAAACTTGAGCTAGGTCTTGAACACAGAGCCGGACTTAACAATTAAGAGGACAGAAGGGCATTCGTGGAAGTGGAAACAGCACAAGCAAAGGCATGCAGGCAGAAAAGCATGTGGCAGGCCTCGGGACTAATGAGGGGACCAGCCTGACTCCAGGGGCGTGGCATAGAGAAGGAGCCGCAGGTTCTCCTGGAAAAGAGGTGGGAGCACTTAGAGTCAGGGGTGCCAGGCTCTGGGCCCCAGACTCGCAGGTTATTGGAACTGGAAGCAAATGTGCCTTAAGGTGCATCCTCCCAGCGCCCTGGAGCAATCACACTGCAGAACCCCCTGTCTCCTAGGGTTCCAGCTCGGAGCCCCGGGGGACTGAAGGGCAGGAGCCCTCAGGCCAGGCTCCTTAGCTATCCCCCCAGAAGGCCTGATCCCAAGACATCAGGGTTTTTTTAAAACCATTAGAACACTCGTGGAGCTTTTAAAACAAACCCCTACTTGGGCCTCTTGGTAGTTCTGCTTTGGTAAGCACAGGTGAGGCTTGACATTTGAATTTTCAAAGCGGCTTTGGTGATTTTGCTCTGCCCTGAGTGACAACCCCCAGGCCAGAGTGGCTGCTCCTTGAGGACAGGGCTGGCCAGGAGGAGGAGCTCAGGGAGCTGTAGGCGATGGATGCGTGGGTGGATTACAGACCAGTGGAAGCTAGAGGAAGAAGGGTTCAGGCACGGAGGGGTTTGGGGCTCAGAAATGTGTCATTTTTGCCCCAAGAAGGTTTAATTCTCCCTTAGGAAAATTTCAAAGCACTTTCACTTTTCAGTGACATGGTTGCTCTGCACCAGCCCAAACTATGTAATAAACAAACGAGATGTATGAACACACACTGGCTTTTCTCAAGTTAACCCCACATTCCATCTCCAACCAAGAGAAAGCACTTCAGTCTGGCGGAGAGAGACCAGGCCTTTGAGAGCCAGAACTCGAGAGTAGGGCGGGCCCTTAGTCACTAGGTAAACTGGGTAAACTGAGGCCCAGAGTGAGGGTGCCTTACCCAAGATCACACGAGAATCTGTGGTGGAAGCAGGTCTAGGACCCGAGCCTCTGACTCTCTGGCTCCAGGACGTTTTTTGTTAAATGTCCTACCCAAGGCCACACAGCTAGGAAATGGGCCAGGATGGGAACCCAGGTCTGTCTGATCCCGGGTCCACGCAAGGGCCTTTGAAGTTTCTGTTCTGAGTAAGAGGCAACACTTAATGCAGTCAGGATGGTCAAGAGTAATGGATGGTCAAGCTGCCTAACACCAGTCCTGTGCTTTACCTCGTGATAAAACCGGCAAAAATGGAAAAAAAATAGAGTCCTGTACTTCCTCCATCAACACATTTATTTAGTGTTGTGTAATTGTCTATTTTCTCGCCAGTCTCCCTCACAGCCTGTGAGCTCCTCGGGGGCAGAACCTCATTCATCTCTGTATCTGCAGTGCCCAGTACAGGCCAAGTACCCAGAAAGCACAATGCGTGGTTGTTGAATTCATTCATTAATCCACTTGACGAGTATTAATGAGTACCTACTATGCGCCAGGCACTTGGCTAGTCCTGAGTGGAACCTCAGCAGAATATTGTCTCTGCCTTTACAGAGTTTACGGCCCAGTGGAAAAGAGAGAATGACTACTGAATACATACAGAATAACAATGTACAATGAGTGCTGTGCTGGGGTGGGGGGTGGGGGGACATGCGGGGGACGGGGGACAGAGCATAGTAAGGGAGAGTGAAGGTGGTGAAGGCAGGGAGGGCCTTCCTAAGGAGGTGACATGAGAGTTGAGATCTAAAGGAAGAGGAGGAGGGAGAGCTGTAAACTGTTGGGGAAGTGTGTTCCAGGCAGAAGGAACAGCATGTGTGGAGACCCTGGGGTGGGGTAGGGTTTGGTCTGCTTAGGGAACTAAAAGCCCAGTGGGACTGGAGTGAGCGAGGCATGAGAGGAGGTGGGCACAGGCAGGGGAGGATCATGCAAGGCCTCCTAGACCAGGTTAAGGAAGTAAGGGTTTGTTCTAAATGCCATGGGAGCCACTGAAGGGTTTTAGGAACACAAATGGCATGGCCCAGTCGGCTTTTCACGAGGTCATTCTGGCCACTGGGTGGGAATGGCTGGGAGGGGGACAGGAACCGTGGTGAGGAGGCCAGCGAGGTTACTGTGGAGTCTGGACATGTGTGGTGGGGATGAAGCTGGGTTCTAGGAGGAGGAAGAGTCAGCGGGGGTGCGGATGGGCTGGCTGTAGGGGAAGGGAACAAGCAAGGAGGCTTGAACAACTGGGTAGACGGAGCTACTGTTTACCAACAAGCAGAAGACGGGAGAGAACCGGTTTGCTGGGTAAAACCTCTAGTCGGTTATGCTAAGTTGGAAATGCTTATGAAACGCCAAGAGGAGAGGATGTCACACAGGGAGGGGTCTGGGAGGGAGAGCTGGATTGGGGAGTGTCGGGCCTATAGGTGGGGTATTGAAGCCATGAGGACAGAGAAGAAATGGCCTGAGAAACTGCGACATTTAGAGGTTGATGGCAGAGAGAAACTGGGATGGAGGGGCAGAGAGCAGGCCAAAAGCCAGGGCAGTGTAAGGCCGTGGGGAGCAGTAGTTCAAGAGGGAAAGAGTGGCCAAGGCCGTCTCAAGTGTATAGCTGCCGTGGAGAGGGCAGGAGGGCAGGAACTGAGCCTGCCCTTTGGAATTAGCAACATGGAGGCTACTGGTGACCTTGGCAGATTCACCGACTCCGTGCAAGATGCATGAAGAGGGGGGCTGGCCCCGTGGCTTAGCGGTTAAGTGCACGCGCTCCGCTACTGGAGACCCGGGTCCGGATACCGGGCGCGCACCGACGCACCGCTTGTCAGGCCATGCTGAAGCCGCGTCCCACATACAGCAACTAGAAGGATGTGCAGCTATGACATACGACTATCTACTGGGGCTTTGGGGAGAAAAAGGAGGAGGATTGGCAATAAATGTTAGCTCAGAGCCGGTCTTCCTCAGCAAAAAGAGGAGGATTGGCATGGATGTTAGCTCAGGGCTGATCCTCCTCACAAAAAAAAAAAAAAAAAAAAAGATGCATGAAGAGGAGACAACATCCAGAATGAGCTGAGCCAGGGAAAGCTTCTGGAAGACGTGGCATTTCAGCAGAGCCTTGAAGGCTGAGTCCTGGGAGACCTAAATGCTGCCCACGAGAAGCTGAACCGTGCTTGACAAAGTCTCCCTGCAGGGAGCGGGAAGTACCGTTAACTGGAGTATTCTCTCCACTGTACCGGAGGGAACAGGGAGAGGAGCTGGCTCACTCCTCAGCAGCCAGGAGGCCAGGAGGCTGATGACCCTGCCCCGGGGAACAGAGCCCCCCACACCCCTAGGACTCAGAAGCTTGTCCACTTCCCTCCCTGCAGAGAATCCTGGGAGGTGAGGATTCCAACCCATGGCCTCAGAGCAAAGGGCTCTTCAACACCAGCTGGAGCAGCCAGCTCATTACACATCAGGAAAATCTGAGCCCTAGAGAGAGGCAGGGGTTTGTCCAAGATCACCTAGCACATCAGTGATAGTGACCAGGTGATCTCCAATGATTTCCTGTGGCCCTCACACTAGTGGGTAAAGTCCGAATTCTTTAGCCTGGCATTTAAGGTCTTTCATGATTGAGCAAGAACCCCCAAGTTCATCTCCCTCACACCCTGTGATCCAGCCCCCTGAATGGTTAGCAAGTGCAAATGTACAGCCTCATATAGTCCTCACCACAACATTTTGGAGTAGGTGTTATTATCCTCCTTTTACAGATGAGGAAACTGAGGCTCAGAGAAGGTAGATAACCTGTCCAAGGTTACACAGCTGGTGAAGTACACAGCTGAGCCAGGGTACCATCTCACGAGTGTCTCCAAAGTCATCTTCTCCCCATGCCCTGCTGCAATCACCATAAAGAGCTGCTCCCCTGGGAAGCAATCTCTGAGCTCCCTGGCTCCGAGCTACCTTGGAGTCAGGTCATGTCCTGTGACTCCAAATCACTTGTTCAAGTCACTAAAAGGTCCACTAAATGGAACTGAAATAACTGGTGCCCCTGAGCCCCCCAGACTCCAGCAGCCCATGCCACAGCCTACGGCCTATGAAGGCCCCACAGTCACACCACTCCCAGGGCCTGCAGCCACAGGGCAGCCACCCACAGCAGGAGCGGGGTACCTACAGAATCTGGACAGAATCCTGCCCCTCCCCGCCCCAGACCTCCCACCAGATGCCCTGCTCCTCACCTGGAGACCACCAGTGGTAGGATCAGCATCTTCAACATCCTCATCAATAGCTCTCCAGGAAACTGGAAGTAACTAATTTCCTGAAAACACAGCAAGAGCTGGGGTTATAGCTGATGGTGAAGACTCCACAGTTGCTCAGCTCTTTACAATCTTCAAAGCCCTGTTTCATCCGCATTCTCCTGTCTAGCACATGGGCAGCAGAGGCCACGGAGAAAGCTCTGGCTTTGGAGCCAAACAGACTCGGGTACTAATCTTGCCCACCTATAACTAGCTATGTGGCCTTACGCAAGTTACTGGACCTCTCCGAGTTTTTCTCATCTGTAACATGAGGGTAATAAGCACTTCATAGGGTCATTGGGAGGCTTAAATGAGAGGATACCCATAAAGGACTTGGCAGAGCGCCTGGGTGAGAGTAAGCGTTCAGTAATCAGAGTAAACACAGCTCCCCCACCTCTGCACCCTTCATCCGCCTATCCGTGGTATAAATCTGTCTCCTGTAGCGGGCCATAAGCAGCAGGAGGGAAGGGCTGCGTGCTATTCACACATTCGTCCAACCCATGCTGTGTCAGGCATCAACCTGGGTGCCCAGAGATGAATTAGGCCGCTTCCTACGCCGAAGTTCAGTCTAGTTTACGAGGAGACGGACTCAGAAACAGACCATGGCATCTTGAGTCAGTTTCTCCTTCTGCCTTGGCTCCATTCTCTAGCGCCCCCAACACTGCACTGCCTCAGCTTCTTACCAACCCCTCGCTGCACGTCCAACATTTAGAATGCTGAGGGAGAGATCGGATTGGCTTGGTGAGACACCACTCAGGATAGAGCCCCTCGTGGGCAGAGTTCTTATGGCTGGCTTCCTCATAGGCTGCTGGCTCCACCCATCCAGGGCGCCCTGGATTAGGGGCCAAGTCCTGGCCCAACCCGCTGTCTCCAGAGGAACCTGACCGCTGAATGGGAAGGACCACTAAGCCCAGTTAAACTTGAACTTCAGGAGAAACAGCAAATATTTGTTCTTTACTTATGCTAAAAATCATTTATTATTTATCTGAAATTCAAATTTAACTGGGTGTGCTGTTTTAAAATTTAATTTAATTCAATTTTGCTCTTTCTGGCAACCCTAGCGTGAGGCCGCTTTCCTCAGAGGGTAAGATGGTGGGTGAGGCCAGTACGTGGACTTTCAAACACGACCCAATTTAAATTTTTTGACTTGCAACTATCTTTTTTTTAAAAATCAAAGCCACACATCATACTTGGTGAATGCTCTGATGCTTTGAAAAGCCCCAAATCATAGAATTTTGGTGCTGAGAAGGAGTTTTAAAGATCGGCTAGTCCAGCCGACTCATTTTATAGGTGAGGAATCTGAGCCAGAGAGGGAGGTGACCTGCTGGCAGAATGAGTTAGCAACAGTGCAGGACTGGAATCGGGCCTCCCAGTCCTTCTGCTACCATTTCTGACGCACTAGAAAAGCTACTTTTAAAAATATACCCATCATGGCTGTGTATTTTTAATCAATTTTGATTCACGTGTATATTCTTTAATTTGAATGGCACCATAATGATAAAAAGGCAGCCCTTTCCTCACCCGGCTCTATCCCCAACCCCCATTTCCCAGGAGTGAACATCCTCAACTCCTCTAGCTGTTTCCCTTAGTATTGTTATTTCTAAATAATGTGCTTTAATACTATTTCTAGATGTATCTTTTGACATCTGTTATCTTCCCTGCCATGACAGATGAGGACTTAGTTCCTACTCCCTTTTTCCTCCTACTATTTCATCATTATATCAATTTTTGGGTAAATTAATAGTCAGGGCTTACAATATTTTGATCATAAAATATTGTTCACTGATGAGCCATGTAATATGCTACAACCATTTCTCCTTTTTTGTACAACCTTCATTTTTTTCCTGAAGTTAATAATTGACTGATTTTTCATTTGCCTTGTTTTCTGTGAACCACTCCTTAATTTCTTCCAAATGTATTAACATCTCTTTTAAAATGCCTAACAGTAGTATTTTCTATATAGTTCAGCACATCAGTCCCTTTCTATGCTTCCTGGAACCCCAGTCCAAGAGCTCTCCATCTTCCTGTTCCCGTTTGGACAGATTGGTTGTCATGGGTCTCTTCTTCACTGTCATTCTGGAACTTTCTCCTGTATGAGATCTCTTTCCTAGATCCCTTGTCTTCTTGGTTTACTTCCTTGTTTTGCTGGAACATATCCTTTGGTAGCTTCCTCAGCAAGGGTGAGCGGGAGAGAAACTTCTGAATCCTTACATGAGTAAAAATTCTTTTATTCTACCCTTACCTCTGATAATAGTCTGGCCGTGTATAAGATTCTTTATTTGAAAGAATTTTCCCTCCAAATTTCAAAGGCATTTCCTCTTTGTCTTCTAGCTTCCAGTGCTGCTTAAGATGTTTGGAGCCATTCTTACTTCCTATTCTTTCCATGAGACCTGTTTTATTCCCTCAGAACCATTTAAGGATCATCTGTTTATCTCCAATTTTCTGTAATTTTCATGGTAATGTACCATGGTATGAGATTTGCTTCTTTCTTTTTTTTTTAAATTCATAGTGCTATACATACCTTTCACTTCTGAGAAACTTTCTTGTATTTTCTGTGAAATTTTTCTCTCCATTTTTTCTGTTAGCTCTCTCTAAAACTAAGTTGGATGTTGGAAAGTTGGATGTTGGACATTCTAGTTTTCTTATATTTTCTTTTTCTCCTTTCATCCCTTTTTGTTTTAGTTTTTGGGAGATTTTTGCAACTTTGCCCTAGCTATTGATATTTTTATCTTGGCTCATCTATTTTTAACTTCCAGAAGCTCTTTCTTGTTCTCAGATTGTTCCTTCTTTTTGCATCCTACCCTGTTTTCTGGTCACTCTATCTTCTCTCATGTCTCCGAAGAACTTAAAAAAAGACTTACAGTTCTCTTCTACTCCCTGCACTGTCTCTGCTTCATTAGAGGCCCTCTTTCCTGTTTGTTTAGTCTCTGTCTTTCATGTTAGAAGCTTTGACTTTGGCTTTCTGCTCATGTGTAAGTGTGAGGCACTAACCTTCTGTGTGCATCAGTGGAACTTGTAGACTGAGGGCTCCTTAAGGAAGGGTGATGGGTGATGATCTGGCTTTCTCGCTGGGGGTAGGGTGGGAGGGGGGAGGAATCTCCTTTATAGCAGAATTTGGGATCTTGGAGGCTTCCCTGAGAGGTTTCTTCCTACCTCTGGCTGGGGGGTGGGTCTGGGCCTAAACCCAGCTGACAGCAATCTTATAGGGATCCCACACTCAGAATGTGGATGTCTATGAATTCATTTGATGCCTCACCACCTCCCTCCCCCAACACACATGTGGATCTAATATCCCTAAGCCAAGCTTCTGTGGTTCCTTGGGACAGGCAGGGGGCTAGAGCTGGGTGGATGAGGAGTTCCCTGGTTACAAGAACTGGAAGGGACCTAGGGTCTAACTGTTCCAGTTACAAAATTCCAACCAGTGTGTCTGATTTCAACTCTGTGCTTCCCCCCTGCCTCCTCCAGCACCCTGTACTTCCAAGTCCAGAGACCTTCCGGAGTTCTCCAAGACAACGGATGTGGTATCTACTTCTACAGACACAAGATTTTAGCTCTCTGTGCTCTACTAAGTGAGATCATTCACCTCTATCCACTTCCCATCTTGCCTAATTTATTGTAGTCCCTCAAGAGACTTCTTTTTCTCAACTCTGTCCTTTATATTCTCTTTGTTCTTGGGAGTTTATATCTTTGAAAGATTCCATTACTATAATTTTAGTGGAATTCCAGGAAGGAAAGGAAAATGGATGCAATTGTAAATTCACCATGGTTTAACTGGAGCTGTCAAAGTGATCTATATTTTTTAATGAGATACTCATGTCCAAGGAAAAAAATCTTGTGATTTTGTAAGCTTTTTTCACAAATAGGACATTCTACCGTTTTGCGAATTGTTTATGTTTTTGCCTGTTGCATAAGCTTACAAAATAAGAAGGGTTCAGTTTCTGAGTCACAGGCAGAGCTCAAACAACAACCCCTGGATTTCAAAGTAAGATGTTGAGAAAGCCAAGTCCTGCCAAATAATTGGTCTAAGACTCCACATCCTTCCTTCAGTTTATCTGGCAGGTTAATCCTGACCAGAACACATTTGCATTTCCAAACAGATGGGAAGGCAGCTTTGGCAAAAGAGGCCCCAGATGAGTTTGGCTTTTAATAATAGGCATTCCAGTTTGTTTTCACAAAGTCATCTTCCTGCAGAAAATATATTTTTGCTGCTGAGGAAAATTAAAGAAAGTAGATTGCATATTGTGTGTGCCGTTTTCAGTTTAATTCAGCAAATAGTTGAGGGTTCACTCTTGACAACAGTGAGCTGGGCTCACGTTTTGGTTCAAGAAAGCCCAGGGGATATTCAGCAAGTGGAAGTCTCCCAGGGTAGTAGACAGGGAAGTAGACACCGACACAAACAGCTCTGAAGCAAGACAGCCAGCAGCTGCGTTCCAGGGGAGGGGTGAGCGTAGGGTGAGTGTGGGAGCGAAGGATTAGTCCAGAGGTGGGCAGGTCTGGAAGAATTTCTGTAAGATATGGAATCTGAGACGGTTCTCGATGTGGTTGGACTTGGACAGGTGGATAAGGGAGGGAGGAGTGAAGTCACATTCACGATGCTCCCACCACTTGCCAGGCATTGGGGAGTCCTTGTTTACTCCTCACAAGAATTCTAGTAGACATACAGTGCCCCTGCTCCATTTTACAGTCAAGGAAACTGAGGCCCGGATAGGAGACAGGATTTTGCCTAGTGCCACACGGCCATTTACTAGTGGAGTAAAATTTCAGGGTTCCTCTGCCTCCAGAGTCCATGCTTCTCCCTCAATAACTGACAGCGGCTTTGGACTCAGTTCCCAGAGAGGCAGTGTTTTCCTTCTAATGGAAGACAAGATCTGATGCCGTGAGCCCCAGTCATAGAGATCATATTAGATATCAGTGAACTGCAGGAAGAGGAATTTCATGAAATAGAGAATCTTCCAGGAGCTCATTGACAAGACTCTCTTCTTGACCAAACTTTAGACAGGCTACTCTGAGCCTGCTTTTTGACTAATCTTATCCTTGGGCCTCGTCTCCAGCCTGCCCAGCCCAGTTGTAGCAAAAATCCTGCTAAGTCAGTTTAGTGAGAATCCCCCCCTCGCAGCCCCCTGGATTCAGCGAGAATCCTGGTTGATGGGTTTAGCAAGAATCCCCCTCCCCTCGATGTCTCCTCCTATAATTTCCCATCCATTGACCCCTCACTCTGCCCGTGGGCTATAATCCCCAGCCGTCTGTTGTGTTCGGAGTTGAGCCTGAGCTCTCTCCCTATGGCCACAGTCTTGACCTATCACAACAGTCCTGAATAAAGTCTTCCTGGCCGTTTTAACAAGTGTCAGAATAATTTTTTCTTTAGCACTGTGTGAGTGTCCCTCTGTCTCCTGTAGGAGGTGGGTGCTAAGAGGGAAAGGGATGTTCCCCAGGCAAGGCATCTGCACCCATGCAGTTACACAGGCCAGAACCCTGGGGCCTGCCTTGCCTCCCGGGTCCCCCAGCCCCACATCCAGTCAGCCACCACACCCGGAAGGTTCCTCTTTTGGAAACAGTTCTCGTGTCTGCCTCATGCATTCCCGCTGTCCTGTCTCATCTCTGCACCTACCTCACTTGGCCCCCTGACTGTCCCTTCACTACCACGCCCTCCGCTCAGCACCAGAGGGGTCTCTCCACACTCACATCTGACCGTGCCACCCCTCCTCGTGGTTGCCCCAAGTCCAAGCTTGGTGATGGGGCAGAGAGGCCTGACTGCCCCTGTGCTCTGGGCCCCACCTCACAGTGCCCATTTCAGCAGCCGTGAGCAGCTTGCTCCACACCCCCGGATCTTTCATGGCCCTGTGCCTCTCTCCTGCTGTTCCCTCTGCCTACAGGGCCCTGTCTGGTCTCTATTCACGTGAGCTGCTCTAGGGGGTGTCCTCGATGCCTGCTTTGTGTTCTTACGGGACTTGTTCATTCCTCGCCCAGCTCTTAGCCCTGTGGTTATTCTAACAAGGCATCCTCGCCTCTCCTTCGCCTAGTGATGCTGGTCTGTAACCACTTCACTCTAGTCCTGCACTGTATCTATCACACCCACGTTACAGATGAGAAGCTGGGACCCAGAGAGGCAGTGACTTGCCCACTGTCGTGTGCTCGGGGAGCCATGGAGTGGGAATGTGACCTCCAGATCCCTCAGACCACACACCCCTCCTGGATGGGGCCTCGTGCCGCCCCAGGTGGCTGACCTGTGGAGAGAGGCGCCGGGTCCTCAGGAAGAAGCCGAGGAGGCAGCCCACGGTGACAGATAACACAGACAAGATGAGCAGTCCGTTCCGCTTGCACACATCCCTCCCTCGGGCCAGGACGGCACCCGGCACCATGATGAGCCCAGCCCGCTGGCACCATTCCATGCACAAGAGGCCAGCCAGGGGTACACGGTCCCAGCTGGGGGCTCGGGCTCCTCAGTGGGCAGGTGGTCAGGATTGCTAAGCACCGGCGGCCAGCCCCACGGCAACGGCCTGCGTGGCTGCCCTGGAGGGACGCCACAATCCTATTACCAAGCGCATCATTAGGAGCTGGGAGCAGATTAGGGCCTGGGAAATTAGAGCAGGCCACGTGGTCTGGGGGTTCGGACCTCAAAGCCAAGTGCTGCTCTTAAACAGGAGAGGGAACCAGGGACTGGTGGGAGGAACAAGAGGAACATTTGCTGGTTGGTTTGATTTTTGCCCCCACTTTGTTCTAGAAAGAGTTGAAGGCAAGGCAATCAGATACCAGCAATTGCTAACATTAATTAAGCATTTATTATGCACCAGGTGCTATTCTAGAAGCACATTGGTTGTATTAACTCATTTAATCCTAACACTAATCCCCAAAAATAAGTACTGTATCATTTTACAGATGAGAAAACTGAGGCAGAAAGAGGTTGAGTAATGAGCATGTGCTGTGGGCCAGGCCTGTTCTCGTTGCTCTACCTCTGTGAATCATAGGGAACCATCCCGACAACCCTGGAATTTGACCTTCATTTGCCTGAAAGGGAGATTGAGACCCCAGGAGCCAGAGTCCCCTGGCCATGGTCGCAGAGGCAGCAAGCAGCAGAGTTTGGTGTCCAGCGCTTGACCAGGTGGATGTGTTCAGAGGTGCTCAGCAGTACTGTGGGGAATGTAGGATTTGAATCCAATGGACGTGAGTTCAAACCTGGGTTCTGCCACTCGCTGTGATGTGCATCCTTCATGGCCGCTGTAAGCCTAACGCTGGGGACCTGGTAGGTTCTCAGGGCCTATTATTTTTAAAGATGACAGAGCCCAAGGACCTACGTTCAACTCCCAGTTCTGCCACTTAGTAGCTGTGTGGACAAGCCATTTAAGTTCACTGTGCCTCAGTCTCCCCATCCGTAAAACAGACCTAAGAATAACATCTACTTCGTTGGGGCTGTGCAACATCCCATCCAGAAAGTACTTGAGAAAGCAGTGGTGAACTGTAACAGGTGAACAAGGAAGAGGGCTATTGGAGGATCATCAGCTACATTTGGCGTTTTTAGAGAAAGATTTTCTTTTTGCTATTTCTCAGGGCTTGGCCTGCCCTATAAAGCCAGAGGGAATTAACTCTTCTATTTCACCGGGAGCCTGTAATCTCATTACGGACAGTCAGGCGGCAGCAGGGAGCACGGTCTGTGGTAGGGGGTGCACAAGGGCTGCCTCGCCTGACACAGGGGACGGGGAAGAGGATGGAGAGCACGGGGCCAAGGAACTGCTGGGAATCTGGGCGGAGGGGGCTGGGTGCTGGGGACCCTTGGATTCCGGTCCCATGTTAAGCAGCTCCGCGACCTTGCCCTCTTTGGGCCTCATCTTGCCCGTCTTGGAACGAGAGGACCGGGCTGAGTGCTTTGTAAGGACCCCTCGTCTCAGCATGCCAAGCTTCTGAAGTCCCTGCTCTCTGCCAGCAGCTTTGGGGGTGTGGGGGTGGGTGGATAGGCAGATGAAACAAAGTTAAGCAGGTTCTTTACTCCAGGACAGCTCCAAGCCAGACCGCTCAAGTTCAGACCTTAGCTCTACTGTTTGCTAGCTGCATGACCTTGGGCAAATTTCTTAACCTCTCTGTGAAATAGAAAGAATACAACAGTCCCTAGTTCATGGGCTTGTCATGTGGGTCAAATATGGTGATGCACGCGAGGTGCTTCGAGTGTTGCCTGGTGCCTTGCTGACACTCACAGTGGTCACTATTAGCTTTAGCAGAGCCTTTACAGTACTAACGTGTGTTGGAGGAAGTCTCCAAGTGGAGGATACAGAACCCCAGCCCTCTTCTGGAGCAGAGAATCCCATGGGTCTGTGTTTGGGGAACACACATTGGAACACTCCAGCCTCCAGGATGAAGTCCCTGCTTCCTTAGGGAAGAGTCTGAGGCCCTCGGAGGCTTGTGTTTGCTCACCTCTCCAGCAACCACCTCCCCCTCTCACCTCTCCAGCTCCCCTCCCTCTGCTCACCTCTCCAGTAACCTCCTCCTCTGCTCACCTCTCCAGCTGTCCACCTCCTCCACTCACCTCTCCAGTAACCACCCCCTCCGCTCACCTCTCCAGTTCCCCCTCCTCTGCTCGCCTCTCCAGCTCCCCACCCCCTCTGCTCACCTCTCCAGCTCCCCACCCCCTCCGCTCACCTCTCCAGTTCCCCACCCCCTCCGCTCACCTCTCCAGTAACCACCCCCTCCACTCACCTCTCCAGCTCTTCACCTCCTCCGCTCATCATACCTCTAGCTTCCTTGAGTGCTGCATCCTCTCTCAGGCCTCCACGCTGTGCCCATACTATTTCCTCTGTCTAGAATGTCCTTCCCTCTGTCTCTAAAGTCACAGGCCAAATGCCCATCTTCCCTGAAGCTTTCCCCGACTACCCCAGACACAGCACCTCCCCCTTCTCCTCCCACTATGTCAGGCCCTTCTGCAGTCACCACCCGGGATTAACCCTAGTTCCCTTTTAAGTGGCTCTGACAAGGAAATAAAAATCTATGAGACTAAAATTGTCTCATTTTGTTACCGTATCATTTGAGAACAGCTTGAGGGGTCATCCTCAACATTGTAGGGAACTGGGGGGCACCCCAAGGAGCAAAGAGTTGCCCCTCAGAGCAGCTACAACGAATGGACAGCAGGAAGCCCAGGAGATGCGTCTTGGGAGATTTGAGCCGCACAGATTAAGATGCTGCGGGCAGAGAAGATCACCAGTGTTGTCAAAAACTAGCCCGAATCACCAAGCGCAGGTGCAGCTGCCCCACTCCGCAGACGTGAGTTTATGGTCGAGCTGTTTCTCCCCACAGCAGCTCTGCGCAGGGTGTGCCAGGGTGGAGAGCAGCAGGGTCGATGTGTTGGCTAATGATAACTGATTCTCCAGGGCAGTAGAGAATCTGACTTGGCCCAGGGCGGTGGGTGCAGGAAGGTTTCCTGGAGGAGGGGTCATCTAGTGGATTCCTGAATAGGCCTAGAGTTAACCCAGAGCACGGGGTGCTGGTGAGGGGGAGGCAAGAGGAGAGCCTGTTCTGGAAGAGGGGCCCAGGCTGGAGGTGCGAGCTGGATCTGAGACCCTGCAGTGGGCCCGTGGGCTGGGGCGGGCAGCGGGCCTGGGGCCTCAGCCTCCACCGCGTATCAGAGTGAGTTTAGGTTAAGCTGTCTGAGCTCCCAGCTGGTGTCTGGTGACTACAGCCCCCGGTTTGTTGGCTGCTTTCCAGAGACATACCAGAGGCCTTAACCTCCTCCCTGGCACGTCCCCCGGCTCGCTGCAGTCTGGGCCCTTCCGAGAAGGTTTTCTGTGGACAGATAGCCCATCTGGGTGTGGATTCCCGTGAGCCTTAGTCACGAGGGGCTGTCCTGACCCCGCCGAGGCCAGGTCTTCCCATGTTTGCCTGCACGATGGGGTGAAGCGGCTCTCCGGAGGCAGGCTCTCAGGTCGCCTTCCTTCTACCCTTCCAGCCCCTCCTGTCTGGATTTCTCATCTGTAGTAAGTGGGCCTGAGCACCCAGGAAACCACTTAGCTGCTGTTAGTGGAGCACCCACTCTGCACCGGGCTCTGTCAAAGATCCACGTAGCAGAGGGAGCCAGGGAGTGACTCGGCCCTCACCACGCTCACTGAGTCAGTCAAGTGTCGGGGTACAGGGTAAGGGCCCAAGTTCTGGATCTGTGCAGTCCAATACAGGGGCACTAGTCACACTACTTAAATTGAAATGAATGAAAATTAAATAAAGTTTAAAATTTAGTTCTTTAGTTGCACTAGCCAGGTTTCAAGGGCTCAGTAGCCACATGTGGCTAGTGGCTACCATATTGAACAGCCCAGGTACAGAACATTTCCATGATCACAGAAAGTTCTGTTGGACTTTCTAGAGTCACAGTGAGCTGGATTCAAATCTCAGATCCTTCCCTTGGAAGCTGTGTGACTTTGCCCAAATTGGTGAACCTCTCTGAGCCTTGTTTCTGCATCTGTAAAAACCAGTGTTCTATACATTGCATCACACTTCCACTCATTTGAATATAATAGTTGGAGCAAAGTATAGAGTTAAAACCCCAGCAAGTTCAAAGTAAGTTCTCAAGTTAGTTAGGACTCTTGTTAGCAAATAACAGGAAATTAAAACAAGCTGGCTTAGGTAAAGAGGGCATTTATAAGCAAGGCTGACTGCACAATTTGTGGGCCCAGTGCAAAATGAACATGTGGGGCTTTTTGTTCAAAAAGCAGGGAAAAAAGTGCATTGAAAGTACTAAAATACAGCTTTTTTCTTTCTTCCATACTTCCTTTTTCAACTTATCCTGGGGTTTTTTATTTGCTATTTAATGTCATTCATAAGTAAATAAACATTAAAAATTTGTTATTAGCATGAATTTTCCCATTCATCTTTATATTTCCAAAGCCAGTTTTAAATGCAGATAGAAGAGCATTTAACTTGCACGCAGAATCACCCAAATGACACAGTTTGTATTTAGTAGCTCATATATGTATGTGGATTTTGTTCTTAACTAGAACAGCAGAAGCGCTGCACAAAACTAATTCCACTGTCTTTATTTCACTTCTAGATACATATACATTCTACCAGTATGTTCTCCACATACTGGGAGTAAGGAAGGACTGAAAAGAAAAGGAGCTATGGATTTCCCTGACTTTCATTTTTCTTCTATATCATTTCCGGTATAAGGAGTTGGCTAATACAGGGAAGTTAAGAAAGAATATAAGGTTCCTCAGTCATGTGTGTTTCTTAGAACACCATGGTCTCACTTCTGTGTTCGAAGCAAGTTCTGGTTCCAGGAAAGTGTGGTTTCTCTTGGCTGTCAGGACCTCTGCTTATTTGGTTGTAGACATAACACGCTCTCCTTGGACTTGCTTTGAGTCTTGCCCAACTCCCACGCATCGCTAGTTTACCAGAATTCTGAGCTCATGGGGCATGG